GTCCTCAGCCCTTGCCAACAACCTCTTGCTTAATTTTAGGCTCTGTGGAAGGAAACAGTCTGTGAAGGGCGATTCAGAGTAAGAGGAGACCACGGTGGCTGGATAATGGCTCGGGGAAGGTGGAGCTCAAAGCACCAGCAGCGTGAGACCTCCTGGAAGGGGAAAGTTGTTATTTTTTTGTAATTAGCTTTCAAAATGACATGCTTTCACCCATTCGGGCTCCTGGACCCACAGAGCATCCCCGAGAGGTGTGTGCCCGGGTGGCTGTGTGTGACAGCATGATGCAGAGTACAGGGGACAGTGGCTGCCCAGGGGCCACGCAGAGTACAGGGGACAGTGGCTGCCAAGCTGCCACTCCGTATCTGGGGTTTGACTTCATGTGCAATGAAAAACTAGTTTTTGGACTGTTTTTTATACCCCTTAGGAGCCAGCAGTGATTATGGGGGGATGTATTGCCTCAGTCGTGCTTACTTCATCTTCCACGAGTCTTACGCAAGGTTGCTGCCTCCTGCCTGTGTTTCCTCATTTTGGGAATCCCTCCGGCTCCAATTTGTCTCCGGGGAAGGGGGATGGCACAAGGGATGTGCCATCACCTCGCTGTCCTCCCCCAGTTATTGGAGGGCAGCTCAGTGAGTCATTGCTGCCAGGCCATACCAGAGCACAGCTCATCCGGGCTTGATGCAACACTTGGTCCCGGTGTTCCCGGTCTGACGGACGGCCATCATGCCCCGGGTGCCCCTGCTCTGCTGCTCGGCTAATTTGCCAAAGCTTGTTGATGCCAAGCTGTCATTGCTTGCATTGCAAGCAGAGACCCGTGCAGAGAGAGCATCGCGTGCCTCCGAGGGGCTGGATCACGTTCCTGCTCCAGATGCCTGGTGCAGCATCACCCCCTGCTCCCGGCTTGCCCTGTGGCGTCTGCTTGCCCCTACATGGCGCAGATGTTGGGTTCATGTCCAAGGTGGTGGCAGAGGGCGCCTGTCCCTCCTGGTCCCCAGGGGATTGGCCCTGTTTCGGAACCACTGCCTTGGTCCTGACCATGGCCCAAAGCAAAGCTTCTGGTGGAGTCCACGCTCTGCCTAACCAGAGGATGGGGCTGAGTTCCAGGCCTTGGGTTTGACTTAGGGTGAAGGTTTAGGTGAGGGTTTCCAGAACAAGAAATCCCAGACTTAAAGTAAGAGAGAGGCTCAACAGCTTCCAAAGTGAGGGCTGCTAGTAAAATTATCTGCTGAGCATCCTCAGGGTGTCTCTTGGCACACATCTTGGTCTAGGGGTTGGGTTTGGCAAGGTGGCTCTTACTGGGGACAGCAGGGTCCATCCCCACCAGAACTTCATAATCCCCGGATCCATCCTGAGCCCTGGTGTTCTATGATGCACGTGTGGATGGCTTATGTGCCATCACCAAGCATGCCAAGATGGGGAGCATAAACTGGTCCTGGGCTGTCACCTCCCCCCAGTGCAGGTGAGTTGGCTGATGGGGGTCCTCACCCCACCTCCTTGGTGAGAAGAGGTGGTATCTCCAACCGGAGGGTCATTTCTACCTGTGAAAGGTGTCTCTGGGCAGTGTCCTGGGGACAGCACAGCCGCGGCTGCCTTTCTCTGTCCCCATCCCACGTGCCTCGACACTTGCATTTCCTTGTGCCCAGACTGTGCTTTCCTGGCCAGCGCTTCTGATGCCACTCAGCATCCATCCATCACCTGGCAGCCCATCCTCCCACTCACCCACACAGCCATGAGTGCTCCTGCCTGAGGGGGCCTGGGCAGGGACTGCCCCCGTGCTGCTACCTGCAGCCCTAGTTCAATGGCGCTGTGATTTAGAGAACATTGAGAGCCGGGCTGACATGCACAGGTGGGTGCGTGGTGCCCGTGTCTCCGGCTCCCTCTCTCCCCCTGATGCTCAGACCTTCCCTCTGTGTGACGGACGTGCTGGGGAACTTAAAAAGGGACATGCCACGGTGACAGGCTGCAGCCGAGCACAGCCCTGCCCGTAGCTGTGCCCCCAGCCTGTGCCCTGTCCTGCAACGCTGCACGAGATGCATCGGGGCTGTGGGTTGCACTGGAGGGCAGCTAAGAACACCCCCAAGGGGGCTCAGGCTGCCACCGGGGGGCCTGAGGATGTTCAGAGCAGGTCTCCTGTCTCCCCTTGTTGTCCCACTGCTGGCAGAAGGTTTTCTTATGCTGCTCAGCCCTTAGCCCTGGCGCTTGAATCCTTCTTACAGACGAGAACAATATTAGTACCAGCGAGACGGATACCCAGGCTCTGTTCAGAGCAAGCCAGGCTCTGCCAGAAGCAGGGGGTAATCAGCACAGTAATTAAATGTGCAAATAATGGGAATTTGGGAGTTATAACAAAAGGCAGAGAAATAATCCGGAGGGGCTTGGAGAAATTAGGAACACAGAGCAAAATCTAATCAAGCAGAAAATAGCCCGACTGGAGCCAACAGATGGGGACTAAGGCAGCCGGCCTCGGAGCGCCCCTCCCCTGGCATCTGGGGGTGTCTCCAGTGCCACTTTGGGGCACAATAAGAGTTTTTGGAGAGATCTGTTCCCGCTTGGTGAACAGGGCTGGCTGCAGGCTGGGTTACTGGGAAAAGTTCCCAGATCTGCGCTATCGGTGGACAGTGGATTTTGGATGTAATATTGGTGGAAATAATCACCCAGAAGAGCAGTCTGGGGAAATAGAGCTGATGGAGGTAGAGGAAAGATACCTGAGGCCAGCGGGAAGTTGGGCTATTTTGGGGGAGAAAGTGGTTCTTCATTGCAATGGGTTTGCTGGGGCTTAAATATTTTGTACAGACATACCGTTCCCAGCCGCAGTGTTTCCCTGGAATGAGCTCGGACACGCAGAGCTCTCTGGCCAGGGGGAGATAAACGGAAAATGTGAGCTGGTTTTAGTTTGCTGGACTCAAATCCCCTTGTGAGCATCCTGGGAGGGACTCGTGGTAGGGGAGAGCGGCAGGCTGGAGCCGGGCTCTGGTGTAATCGATTCGTGCTCATGCTAAGCCTTGCCTGGGTTTCCATGGGGGGATGCGGTGGCCGGTCACTGCAACCCTGGGGAAGTGGTCCACGAGGCTGGGAGCCAGACCCAGGGGACCCGGCACTGTGCCACAGGCACCCTGGGGACCAGACCTCGGGTGGCACCGGCAGGGCTGAGCGACATCCCCGGCCACTGTGCCTTGGTCGTGTCTGTGGGGATGTTGTCTCTGAGGACCTGCGAGAGGACATCCCATGGGGTGGAAGGACCTTCTCCCTCCACCAACAGAGACCCCAAACCTGTGGTGCACAGGCAGAAATGCCTCCATCCGACGGCAGGCACCGCAGAGCCTTGTAGATCCAGTCCCAGCCTGGCATCCAAAGCTATCCCAGACTCTCACCCAGACCCATCTCCCAAAGCTCCCTGAAAAGGCACCTCACCAGGTTTGCTCCGACATCCCGGAGCACGCCCCAGGCGCAGGTGACATGGCTCAGCCCCGCAGGGACGCGCTGCAGCTGCCTCCCGGCCTCTCCGGGTGCTTTCGGCCAGCTCTTGAAAGGACCTTTCAGTAAGTCCCAATCAAAGAGGCGGCGTGGCGAGGAGCGAGCCGCTCCGATGGGAAAGCACATCCCACCAGCCCCCACCCCATCCTTGTTTTCCCATTTCTCTGCCTTCCGCCCCGGGGACGTGACCTGGCAGCGGGCTCGAAGTCAACGCAAGGCAACGGCCCTTAAGCTGGAAAGAAAAGGCTGTTAAAAACAGGATTGCCTCTGGCTTGGGATGTCCCAGAGCCCCAGATTGCCAAAGCTCAGGAGAAGGTAGCAGGGAGCTGTCATTGCAGGTTTTCCCTCTTAACCCTTGGCTGAACGACCTTTGCTCTGTCCCGGGGTGGCTGTGTTTGGGCTCAGTGTCCCCAGATATCTCCCAGCTCAGAAATGCAGCCCCTGAGACTGGGAAACAGAGGCACAAAAAGCACAAGCCACAGGGCAGGAGCAGACCCATCTCCCACTGGCTGCGATGGATGGGACCTGTGGAGACCACAGGGTGCCGGGACCTGGGCTTTTAGGAAAGCTCCCAAAGCCACAAGCTATGAGATGCCAGTGGGGCTGAGCAGCCCCAGCACTGGGACCAGGTCTCTCCTGCCACTGGGACCAGTAGCAGGGCTCGGAAAAACCTGCAGCCCCCTGCTCCCAGGTTGCTTCCCTGCAGGGAAGGTTGTCCTGCAGGCTCAGAAATGCCATCGGGGTTGCACAAGCTATCCCTGCCCCACAGCCTTTTGCAGTGGAGGGGTTATCCTGGGGATGCACCGCAGGGAAAACCAGCTCAGGGACGTTCCTCTGCCGGCCAAACCTCCGGGGAGGGTTTGTTTAGCCCCAGCAGCTATAGCAACGAGCCCTGCTGCCTGAAGCAGCTCTGCTCGCCCCATTGCCTGCGTGCCTGCCCGAGCCATGGAGGTGGGGGAAGCGGGGGACCCCCATGGGGTCTGGGGGGACACCCCAGCAGAGACATATGTCATCCCGCACGGGGTAAGCCCTGGAGAGCAGATCTGTCTCTGGATTTATGAGATAATCAGGGCTCACAGGGGTAGGGTGGGGAAAATGGGATGGTGTGGGAGGAGAGAAGGGATGAGGTCGGGGCTTCGGGTGGGCACTGGGGTCTGGGGCAGCAAAGCTGCTCTTCACAAAACGCCTCCCTGCTCCCTGCAGACCCCGGGGTCCTGGGAAAGGACACTTCTGCATGGGGATGTGTCCCCTGGGGTTGGGACTTGCTAGGTGTGCAATTCATCCAGGCTTGCAGCGCTGCACCCCTGGAAAGAGGGGGGTCAGTGCAAGCCACCGCTTCCTCTGAGGTTCTCCTGCCTGCTCCCCCCGGGGCCAGCGTTGCTCTCCTCCCTGCCACCAGCTCCTCTCCCCTCTCCTCCCCGGCTGCCGCACTAACAGGGCACTAAATTAAAGCAAGAGTGGGAGATCCCTGGGGTTTTCCTTCCCCTCCTGCCTTTCAGCTCCGACCTGGGAGATCTGGTGGGGCCATGCCGGTGCCCCAGCAGCCAGTGATGATCCTCCAGCAGTTTCCCAGGACCGTGGCTGCCCTGGCTCCCCCCGCCGGACCCTCGCACATCCGGGGAGGTGCGTGATGGTAGACGTCGTAGAGGTCAGCGTTAAAACCAGCTTAACTTCATCCTCTTCTTTTTTTTCCAGCCTTTTCAGTATGAGAGTCAGGCAGGGGGGCTGCACCCCCCCTCCGCAGCCTCACAGGGCTGGCCGCACCATGCTTTGATGGCTGCTTTGTCCCATGCGATGCAATTTTTGGTGGTTTTACCAACCTTGAAGCCTGGGCTGGCTTTGGCCACACCAGGATGCTCCCAGGGAATGGTTTTGGGGTGTTTTTTGAAACCCACCTCTCTTTGTTCTCCAAAACCCCATGTCATGTGGGTGTGGGCAGCATCACCAGGGAAAGCCAGGGTGATATGGGCTCCTTGGCCATGCTAAGAGGGACTGGAGGGAGACACGTGACAGCTCCAGAGCCCGTGGGATGCAGCAAGCAGGAGCGAAGACCAACTGTCTACTGGGGCTTCATCCAACCTTGTGCAACCCAGGATTCAGCAATCTGGGCTGGGGGAGCAGACAGCAGAGGCGGAGGGCGGGGGGCTTGTAGTCCCTGGGACATGCCATGGGCGAAGCCGTGCAGCTTTGCTGGGATAGGGGAAGGTTGAGCCGTCTTTAAAAGTACATGGAGGAAAGGGCATGCCCAAAATTGGTGCGGGAAGAAAACGGAGACCCCAGCCTGGCCCCTCGCAGCCCTGCGGTGGGGGCTGGCTGCCTTTCCAGTGGGACGGGTGGGATCCATTAAGAGCCGCCAGCCCTTTGCGTGCTTTCTCCTCCCGGTTCAATGCCTGGCTGCTGGCCCACTCCTTCCTCGCAGCTCCAGCTCCGGCCACCCCCCGAGTTGTTCTGTAATGCTCCTCGCTGGAGGGTCAGCTGCCTCATGGGTGCCCTGGGAGCCCATCCCTGCAGCTGTGAAAGCATTTTGGGATCTGGAATGTGGGACAGGGGGATGCCCAAACCCCTTTTTACCCATGGCTCCAGCTAATGGGGACTCACGGGTCTCATGCACAAAGCCATCGGGATCTTGGAGGCAGCCCCTCCAGCAGGTTTACAGGCATTTTGCAGGGGAACGTCATGCCTGCAGCAAATGGGGATGTTTTAATGGGGATGCAGAGCCAGATGCCATGCTTCCCCTGCAGCCTGATCGCCATCAGCAGCTGTACTGCAGCTTGGGCATCCAGCCAAGGGGACTGGGACGCTAACCTGTATGTGCACGGCCGCTCCAGGTCCCAGCTCCTCGTGTGGAGCCAGGCAGGGGCTGGGGAGGCACCGAGCATCCCCAGCCTGCTCCTCGCCTGGACCCAGCTCCGTAGGTGCTTGCTCCTGGGAATGGAGATGGGGTCAGCCCCCATGGTCCAGCCCCAGCTCCTGCCTCCTTGGGGGTGGGTTCTGAGCTCCCCCGTGCATGACGTGGTGCAAAGTGGAGCTGACCCTGGCGTGCTCCCCATGCGGTGCCACCCCCAGGACACCGGCTCTGCCGGCTGGTGCCAAGGCAGAGGCTTGCCAAGCCGCTGAGCGCTGCCAGGACCGGAGCAATTCTCCTCCGAATGGGCGGAAAGTCTGATGCCTCCAGCACCACTAATCACCTTTTGTGAGCAGCCTTCAGCAAGCCAGACCAGATGTTTAATCACATTTGCAAATAAGAAGAGGCTGAAATATGGCTATTTTAAAGCTTTATCCAAGCAAAATAATTTTTAAGTGCCACATGGGCCTTCCAAATCGGGCTGGGGGGAGTTTGGTTTAGCTCTCACTGCTGGGGCACAGGGACAAGCCTTGGTGCCGCCCCGTCCCCGGCACTCATCCCATGGCCATGTTTCTCGTGCCCTTGCTCTGATCTCTCTCTGACGCAGAGCCCCTTACTCTCCGGCAGATTTAATCGAGTTGATGATGATTCAAAACTCCCAAATGCACCAGGTGGTGATGAACAGCCTGGCTGTGTCGGCACTGACGTCCTTCGGGTTCGGGCCATCCCCAGCTGCTGCCCAGGTAAGGGTCAGGGATGCTGGATGGGCAAAGGGACCGTAGGACCGAAGATGACCAAAGGACCAAAAGGACCAAAGAGGTGGGCAAAGGGACCTTTCCAGAGCTCCTCAGGAGAGCAGGATGCCTGTGTCCCGCTTTGGCACAGTGTGGGACCCCTCCAGGAGCAGAAGCTGGGTCATCTCAGCCTGTCTCAGTCCAGGCTCTGCAGCCCTTTGGGGTTTTGGAGCTCTTTGTGCTGGTTTGACCCCCAGGTCTGCCAGCACAGATCACATCCAGGCTGCTCAGAGGCGATTTAGCCCAGCTGGGAAGAGCCAGGACCCTCCCTGCGTGCTGCGGCATGGGCAGGGTGCAGCGCTGGGCTGCAGCAGCCGAGCAGCAAGGCTGAGCACTATTCATTAGGCAGTATGGCTCTGCAAGGGCTTTCATTTAAAAGTCCACCTCGAACCAAAATTGTATTAAACATTTCATCTCCATGGGGAGAAACGAATGCTGCTTTCTCGGCGGGGGTGAGAGCTGGGCCGCGGGCATGCTGGGGGCACGCGCCCTCCCGTGCTGCCCACCCAGTGCCCACCAGTTCCCCACGTTGGCCAAGACCGGACCCTGCCTGTCGCATCTCAGTGGCTGGATCAAATGGGCTCTTCCCAGCAGTGTTTTGAGGTCCCATCTGTGGGGCTGCCACCTCCCCGTGTCCCCAGCAGCCGGGTTCCCACGCTGGCCGACCGCGGGGCTCTGTGTGGGATCGAGCCCACCCAGCCAGACCCTGGGAGAGCTGTGCCGTGCCGGCGGCATCGCAGCTAAGCACGGCTCCGTGGGAACTCTCTCGCTGGTGCTTTGGGGAGCAGTGCCCCAGGGTGATGGCTGCTGAAAGGGGCCCGGCACAGCCCTGCCTTTTGTTCCTCCCCGCAGGCGATGGCGGTGCCTTTGCAGACCGGAGAGGAAGAGGAGGCTGTGGTTTTCCACCATCACTACATCCCCTACCCCGGTCCTGTCGTGGCACGGCCGTTCCGGGAGTGGGGTCGGGGGCCGGCGGCCATGCGATACCTGGGCACAGGCTCATTAGCCGAGGATGGGGAGGTGTGAGTAACGAGGGCGCTGCTTTGTGCCACCCGACGTGGGGCTGCGTGCGTGTCCCTGTGGCCCCTGGCGTAACACGCCTTCCAGCCTAAGCTGGGACACAAGATGCAACACTAGGCCGGCACTTACTCCTGTCCTTGCTCCTCTCCCGCAGTGCGGTGCCCCCCCCTCCACCCCCCAGCACCACAGAGACAGTGGGAGCCAGCGTCCCACCAGCATCGGGTAAGGACACGTTCTCCCCATGTCCCTCAACGAGGGATGTCTTGCCCTCAGGCGTGCATCAACCGGGCACCCCTCGGTCAAAGGCTGAGCCCTCCCTGTTCCCTCCATCCATTGGATCCTGGGGGTTGCCCTTGCACATCCTCCAGGTCCCCTTTTCTCTCCGCAGAGTACTACGACGTGGTGGAGGAGAGGCTGTGAGCTCCATGCGTCCCAAGATGGTTTCTCCTGCACGTCCCAGTCCTCAACCCCAGAAGATCCTGCAGGTGCTGAGCATGGGTGCTCCATGATACCCATAGTTTCGGGGTGGCTCGCGGGGAGGAAGCGAACGTGCCCAGCAA